TGGTTGAATAATTGGAGAATAAGAGTGAATGAGGACAAATGTAACCATGTCACATTCACTCTTAAAAGGAAAACTTGCCCACCAGTCCTACTGAATGGTAAAAATATTCCACAAAGCGAGCATGCAAAATATCTGGGAATGCACCTAGACCGAAGATTGAATTGGAGAGTGCACATCTGGACGAAAAGAAAACAGCTTAACTTAAAACTAAGGAAAATGTACTGGCTGATAGGAAGAAAATCTCAGCTAGCCCTTGATAACAAACTACTTCTATACAAGTCTATTCTCAAACCTGTGTGGACATATGGAATTCAACTGTGGGGAACAGCATCCAACTCCAACATCGAAATACTAGAAAGATTTCAATCAAAGACATTAAGGGCTATTGTGGATGCACCTTGGTTCATTCCAAATGATATTATAAGAAATGACACAATGATACCAACAGTGAAGGAAGAAATTAGCACATTTTTCAACAATTACAAAGAGAGATTACAAACCCATCCTAACCCACTAGCAGCTCGCATTGTTCAGGATTACATCAGAAATTCTCGTCTCAAAAAACATAAACAACTTATAACAACTTAATTATTTATTTTCATTTATTTTCATTTCTAATGTAACGTAATTATAATCTTTGTTTGATATTATAAAATCAAAGTAACGTAACCATCTAATCCAGGACCGAGTATTCCACTGGGAAGCTCACCTTGTCAAAATGCTTTATTATAATACGTTATAAAATTTACCAAATGTTGAATTGCAGATTGTAAATTTAAATAGGAGAAATAAAAAAAAAAAAAAAAAAAAAATCTGTACAATATTTAAAAAGTGAAAATAGGCTCATATTTAATTGTATTTATTTTTGCAAGTTTTAGATTTTTGACATTCACAAAATGAATAGCAAGGAATTCCATTTATAACGTAGATGTATAACTGTGTGGGGTAAGTTTCACCACTGCGATTAAAAACTAATTTATCGGGTGGTGTCAATAAAATTTGTATAGTTTGAGGAACAAGCATGCCATCTTTTTAACCGAACTATAATGGATTCAGTAAATCTGCCCTCTTATTCAATATCTGTTTTTCTAAAAAACCCACATAAATAGCTCTTCGAATATGCAAGTGCATTGATTAACTTACACCCGGCAAACCTTCAACTAAAGAACTCTTTTGTGATCAATTATAAATCCAGGTTCTTTTTTCATCAAAAGTTTTACATTTCGACATTATTTTCCATACTTTAACCAAATACTCTTCTGCTCGTTTTATATCCCTTTCAATAGAACTTTCAGACTAATCTAATTTAAAATCAAAATTATTCATTATAAAAATTTGGAAATTTGTGAAAAATGAATTAAATATTACCATCAGAAAAGTTCAATAAATAGTTTTAAGGCTACAAATTAAGCGCAGCATACTTCGCCTAGACATTACTCGTATAATCTGAGCCGGTTAAATGCTGGAGGACTAATAAAGTGGAACAAAATTCTTCTCTATAGTGATGAACTAATTTATGCATAGGAACATGTTTCGAGCTTTTTGAAATTCCTACGCTAATAGTATAATAAACTCATAGAGTCTGAAAATAACAGCATATAGACAACTTATAATTTATATTAGAAACATATTGACTATGGATCTTTTTTTAAATCCATAACCTTCGGAAAATTTGTTTCATTGAAAGGAACTTAATTTTCAGATAGCTTATTTATTCAGTTTCAATTTCGTTTTTTTCTCATCTCTCCATGTCCATTTATTACTGAGATGTCGAGCTTTAATTGAAAAATAGTACGTTTTCCTTCAATCGACAATATCTCAGCAACTAAGAATTGTACAGGAAATAAAAAGACAGTTCTAAAAACTAGAATAAATTACCTAGAAACCCAATTCATTGGTTATTGAAAAAAGTATGAAAAATGGCTTTTTGGGTTATTTTAGAAAACCTACCTCAACCTGGTAGTCGTTGCGAAAAGTACCAATGTTTTGTAACGGGGTATAAATCCGCTTTATTTTCTTTGTTTCGTCCGATGCGCAGTCGTGCCGGAATGCGCGTGGCGAGATCGAAATATTCAAGTTTTGCTAACCGGAGAGCAGGAGGGGACAGGAGTCAGTCAACCAACTTACTACTAATGACAACAATACGTTAACGTTTAAATCATACACGGACTTGTTTATTCATGAAGTAATTTACAACACATCTGGCTCGCGCATTTAAGCTTGTACGGCGCACGCGACAATATCATGCATCGCTACTTTGTTCACAATCTTTCGTTCGCGACATTCGTTTGCATGCATGCTACCGATTTTCTCATAATCGCCGGTACGAGGGGAGAGCAATTAGGCGCGGTCGTTTAACAAAAATTGCGACGCAAAGCTGGCCAGCTTACCTTGAGTGTACAGTCGCACTATCAGGGGGAGCAAATCAGTATCGGCTCTGGTATTTCAAGTTGCCGCTTTTCTCTGCTGGAAGTGGAGTTTTCTCTGTTGTCCTGTCGACTCTGTCGGAGAGATTCCGCGACCTCGTGGTCGCCTACGATGGCGATATTTCCACTCACTCCGAACGGTAACAATGGAAAACTTTCATAGAAGTTATCGGCACACTCGCTTCCGTACTCTTCTTCTTTGTCCGTATTTGCGCCTGACTCCTCTGCACTCCTTAATGCTCGGATGGCTAATCTTTCACTTTCGGCTAGCTGCACAACTCTAACGTTAGTGCTCCTGGACTCTTTCACGCTGTTACCAGTGTCAAAGGCGCTCTCCCACTGGTCCTTTTCTCTTCGCGCGTGTTTCTTCCCATTTCGGACCGAGTTCCCGTTTTCGACTTACCCAGGTCGGTAGGTGCTGCCCTCACGGGCAGCCACGCAACCGAGATGGTAGCGCAAATCGGACGTTTACCGTCACAGTTTGTAGTTTCTTTTCAGCTCGATACATATCCAAAAAACCTTGCCAATTACACAGAACAATAATTAAGAGAACCTGAAACCAGACATAGCACCCTTAATAGATTATCATGCGCTGATTCCAAATCTGGGCTCAGAATTGCTCTATCACCTTTGGTTTTCCAGATATCTTCACCTAAAAATGTCAAAAGCACGTTCGTTTATTATATTTGATCACTTGTAAATTGACGAAGGATTTTTTCAGCGCAATTCTGACCACAGTTCCTAAAAGAGCATCTCTTGGACTACAGAAAGCACTATTTAAAATTAATTTTATAATTTTTTCAACGAAGATATGGTCGTTTGAAAAATCTTGTTTCTGAACATTCTACTATAGGCTTATAATAACGCGAAACTCAATATTACCATGCTCTCGAAACTCGACGAGCAGTGCCCAACTGGGTGTTGGCTTCATGTGATTCTATCAAATGTTCTGTTTTTAGGATTACACAATAAATGACATGTGAAAACCTACTGGCTTAGGAAATATTGAGTTTAAGGGGTTTCAGCAAACTAGACACTATGCTATACGCGAATTTTCGTACTTCTGATGCTATTATGCATGTGCATTTATAGGCATGAGAAATGAATGTTGAGTTTCGTGTTATTATAAGTCTATAGTAGAATGTTCAGATCAAACATTTTTCAAACGACCATATCTCCGTTAAAAAAATTATAAAATTAATTTTGAATAGTGCTTTTTGTAGCCCAAGAGTTATTCTTTTAATGATAGTTCGTTCAGTGTACTTCATCTGTAACACAGGTTGTCGCGTTATTTATGCTCTTTGCCACCAATTCTTTAATAGAGGGGGAAAAAGAGGCGCTTTGCCACCAATTCTTTAAAAGATGAATAAGAGAGGCGCTTTCGCCCTCAACGATCAAAAGGGGGAGGAGGAAGAAGGATGGGTCAATAAATGATTTCGCGCGCAAACTTTCGAAATTTAATGCAAAATCATTATTAATATAAACCACACTAAAAAACTCGCAAGACTTACTACTAACATATAATACCAAGAACGCGTGGACCTTATTATTACTACCGATGACGAATAATCGCGTATCGCCCGGCAACAGAATCGCCTTAATAATCCACGTTTTGGTACAGCCGCTGCACGTATAAAGAATCTCGGTAACCGGCAAGTAAACGCCTGGCTACCGACTATTGCCGAATTTAGCCTAACCGGTGAAATCTGAGAGAGAGAGAGAGAGAGAGAGAGAGAGAGAGAGAGAGAGAGAGAGAGAGAGAGAGAGAGAGAGAGAGAGAGAGAGAGAGAGAGAGAGAGCGAAGAAAGAAAGATAAACTGACCTCTGTGTCTTTGGCTTGCCGGGGGATGCTGATCTCACTGGAGGGCCAAAGCACGAAGGGATGCCGTCGTCCACGTCATGATTGGGCGTCTCTACAGGGTCAACAAATGTGGCTTCCACGTCTTCTTCGTGATGTTCCTTCCCAATGAAGGGTCTCTCTCCACACAAGCTGGTAGACCTTATTGCGTCGAACCAGTGAATACTACTATTTGTTCTACCTTCTCGCGTCAAGTAGCCCATGAGCGAACTGCTTAATAACTGTCAGCCGTGGCCTACTCACGGTCATCGACATGCTCTTTCTCTCATTCCCTTTTGACCTACATCTTGAGTGGCATACGACGGAACGCTTATCGGTCGTGCGTCGCACGCCCCCCTATACCTGCATAGTAGGCGCGTACCTTTCTCTCTTTCTCTTTCTCTCGCTTTCTCTTTCGCTGCTTCTTTGAGGCACTTTCTTTCGGGCTTGATCGATCTCGTTCGGCGCTCATTGGTGGCTGAAAGACCACTAGTTAAACACATTTTCTTTTTTCTATATCCGCCCAACGTTGGCCGCTATGCCTTGCCGAGAGCAGGGTAAATAGAGAGACAGCAGGCAATGGGCAAGCAAACTACTTGCCCCCGCTACATAACTGTAAAAATATTTGTTCATAATTTGTTATTATATAAATTAAATGGCATATTGAAATTCATTCATTCTCATTGAAGAAATATTTATTATATGAAGTTAATTAATAATACTATTTACATTTCTAGGACCTTATGTTTTTGCTGCTGGATTATCCACTTATCTACTTTCAAAGGAAATTTATGTACTAGAACATGAATACTATACTGGCCTCTCTCTTGCACTAGTATTAATAATAGGTATTAAGAAGCTAGGTCCATCTTTTGCTAAAATTTTGGACAAAGAGATTGATGAATATGAAAATGATTGGGAATCGTCGAGAACTAATCAAATTAAGGAGTTGGAAGATTTAATTGATCACGAAAAGAAAGAACAATGGCGAACGGATGGCCAAAAAATGATACTTGATATAAAGAAAGACAACATAAATATGCAACTTGAAGCTGCTTATCGAGAACGTTTAGCTCATGTTTATCATGAAATAAAAAGACGTCTTGATTATCAAATGCAGGTACAGAACGTTGAGCGCAATCTATCACAAAAACACATGGTACAATGGATCGTACAAAATGTAAGGAAAGCATTCACTCCAGAACAAGAAAAAATTGTTCTTACACGTTGCATTAATGATCTACAGAATCTTGTTAAGCAAGCTTAATGAAACTGTTCAGACTTATTGTATATGCTTTTGAATAAGAATAGTAAATTCTCGAATAAAATTTTTATCTAGTAATTATTAAATTCCGTATAATGTAAATTATTTTTAAAATGAAATTATATTCTTTAGATAATTATAGATTATTATAGATTAGGGAGATTAGATTAGAGAATTATAGATAATTATAGATAATTATAGTACTATAGAGCTTTATTAATAGCACTAAACATTAAATTTCTTTTGAGTCCTGAAATATGTTATTGACGTGAATATGATGTTTTTATATATTTTGAGTTATTGAATATGAAAATATTCTCAATGTATGCCCTATACATTAGGAATTGTTTACTCCCAAACCAAAATTTTTAGCGATTTTCTATAGTTTTGGAAGTTTAATAAAAAAAAATAAATAACACAAACGTTAATTTGAGTTTAAATAAAAAATTTACTGATTAAAATAATCAAAAACCGTATTTCATTATTTTTATCAAAATTCAAACCTTGTTGAACTTTGAAGGTCGTCAAAACTTTATCAACTTCTAATATGATAATATTATAAAGCTCCGATATGTTTAATTGAAAGTATATTGCGTTTTTCGACAAAAACAGCTGTATATGAAGCTATATATATGAATTTTTAACGACCAATCTGAATACAAAATCAAATTAGGGAAAACTGATTTTTATAGCTTTACTTATGTTTTTCCAGATTTTTATATTAAATAATTAATTATGCCAAAAACTATATTTTCTTATTAATACCAAGAAATAACATAATTAAATGTTAATGTTGTACGAATTTGATCCTTATTATTATTTCTGATTTCCCGATATAGTACGTCTGTGTTTAAAACTTCGATGCTTTCAGACACTCATTTAGTTAGTGAGGCTTTTTCATAAATTATATTCATCTTTCTCGTAGCCATTGTTCCGCTTGTGTGCAAATAATATAATCGTTCAAATTCGTCTACGAGGATAATCGGTTGTATTAATATTTTTTCACAGCATCAGTCTGATTTTTTCTTTTTTCTAATAGACTGAATAGAAAGAATTGAATAGAAAGTGAGGATAATTAATTTTTTCATGATCTTAGTCAAAATGAAAGAAAAATATATAGGTCGGTGTAAGTATAATAGTACATTACGATACAAGTGCGGGAAAGTAGAGTCTTGTCTCGTATGGCGTTTACGCCCGAGCGAAGCGAGGGTGGAAAGGTACACGAGACGAAAAACTCTTTCCCGAACATGTGCCGTACCGTATTTTTTGATACGACGTGTGGAAAGTGCGATTTTCAACACACGTTTTTTGCCGAGCGTGCGGAAAAAACGCACTTTCCGCACGGAGTGTCGAAAAAGCTTTTTTTTATCAAATTTAAATTGTCTACACAAATTAAATTAGACATCCTCCAAGAGATTTTAATTTTATATCCTGCTCTTCTGCTTCTTTTTTAAAATTCGCATATGAAGATTCGTTCTAGACGTGAAATTCGTTGATTTTATTGAGAAGGAAAAGATTAAATAATGCATCCAACGGTAGAATAATTTTCATCCCATACTTAGTGTTTATAAATGAATTAGTGATTTATTCTCAATAAAATTTATAAATTTTTCCCTACTTCGTTCGCAATCCCTACTACTACTACTACTACTACTACTAAAAAAATTGTAAATGTGATGTATACGTCAAAAGTAAGTCAATTACATTAACATACCGTAAGACAAGTTCATAATTATTCATACATGTTTAATTGATCTTAATGCCCGACCCTGCGCACGAATAATACAAAGTCCTCTAGTTATGCGCGAAGTAATCAGTTTACGCGCATATGACAACATCCTCGTTTTCCTTTACGTATGAAAAAAAATTCTCATTATAGTGCTCGCTGTGATGACTCAGTATTACACGCTTTACTCACACATATCAGTTCATTTCAACAACTAAGACGATCTCTTATGTTGCGAAGTCTAGACTTAGCTGTATTACGCTACATCAATATAGCATAGCGGCTAAGTGTCGAAACACGTCTATGCGGCTGTCATTGTTTGAGTGCGCGCACGTTAAAGTTTTTTTTCTACTACAGTGCTGACTGCCAGAGCAAGTCCGTATATGCATAAATTGCTCAGTTCGTATAAGTTCAATCTTAAACAGCGCTGAAGATGAATGAATCAGCCCCCCCTACGCAAACTATGAGCCATATAAGTCAGTGCAGCTATGTACTATAACTTACGTAAGTATACGCACTCTCTGGAGCTCTATGCATACTTCTCCTGACTTCTATTGATTTCATTCTTACCAGCTTGACCGAGTGATCATTCGCATGTGCGTCATTCGAATATCGGATAACAATAGTGCAACCATAATTATATATACCCTTATACATGTTAATGCTTTTTTATCTTAGAATTTCAGATACCATAAGTATTGACACTTGCAAATTTTACGCTTGTCAGATTTTTATGTCTCATGATTTGAGTGGTACCGCTCGCAATATCTACATCTTTAATGTAAGAGTATGCTACTCATACACTCTACGCTTACACGGCTATATTCCTCAAGCGTGCTTACAGCAAAGCTCCCTAAATACGTCTACGACTAACAAGTAATCAAGTTGTTAGTACGGACCCAAGTGCTACTCACCGATTTCAACCAAACTTGGCATATCGTTAGAACGCTAAAAGTTATTGAATCCGTGTTTTTTTTATTTTAGCGGAACCCACTTTTTAGGGATGGAAATCATCACTTCCAACCCACCTTACTCTAGGTAGAGCGAGTTTAATTAACTGCTCTTCTATAAGAAAATTAAGATCTCAACCATAGATAGGTTAACCCTGCTTAACCCTGATATACCTCATTGCCACAACCCTTACGACCCGTATAAATCATCCCTACCAATCCCCAAACAGGCTATACGATCTAATTCTTCTTTTCACCTACCTATAGATTTAGATTATAATAATTTTAATTGCTTTTAACTACTAAATAATATTGAATTTGAAGTGCAAAGTTAATTTGTTTATACAATATTAATTATTGTAATAAAGCGGATACTCTAAATTCGAGATGATAATCTAAGAAACATGAGTAAGAATTCGTTTCATGAATAACAGCTCAGTTATTACTGTTATGAATAAAAAAACAATTAATAATTTAGTTAAACATATAGTTGTATATAGATCGAAAGCATTAATTCTGTACATAACAACGACAATTTTATAATTTATTAATCTAAATTAACTGATTTATTATTTGCATTATAAGATTTTACAAAAAACCGTTACAAATACGAAAATTGATTATAATTCAAATGTTATTAACTAATTTAAGTAATTCTTTTTAGGAATTACTTCTACTAGTAATAAACTATTGATATACGAGGGTGGTCCGATAAGTACTTAGCCTCACCGCCCGATGGCGCCACTCTCGCAAAAGCAATATTCTATCAGGTAGTACAACCTTCTCGATGGTTACTGTCAAGATTTCAGCCGGATCAGAGTTGTAGTTTATTCTTGCGAGCGTGTGAAAGCAAGTGTGTCCGTTGATTTTTGAAAAATGGAAAAAGAGCAGTATCGGTCGGTGATTCGATTCTTGTTTTTGGAAGGGAAATCGCGCAGCGAAATCAAAAAGCGCTTGAATGTGGTGACTCTCCTTCGATGGCGACCGTCAAAAATTGATTTAACGAGTTTCAACGTGGTCGCACGTCGAAGAGCCACGTCCAGGTGCTCCGAAAACGGCTACCACGGAGGATAACGTGACAAAAATTCACGATCTCGTATTGGCAGATCGACGATTAAAGGTGCGCGAGATAGCTAAGATCATAGGCATCTCAAAAGACGCGTGGGTCATGTCCTGCATGAAATTTTGGGCATGAGAAAGCTGTAGAGGGGCAAAACGGTCACAGGGCTGTACTATGCTGAATTATTGGGCCGATTCGACATCGAATGGCAAACAAAACGGCCCCATTTGGCGAAGAAAAAAGTGCTCTTCCACCATGACAACGCACCGGCTCACACCTCCGCCGTCGCCATGGCCAAATTGGTCGAATTAGGCTACGAACTGCTGCCTCATCCACCGTATTCTCCAGATTTAGCCCCGTGCGACTTCTTTTTGTTTCCAAACTTGAAAAAGTCATTCCCCGGACAGAAATTTGAGTCGAATGAGGAAGTAATCGCTGCCACGGAAGCCTACTTTTCAGACCTTGAGGAAACGTATTTTTCAGACGGGTTCAAGTTGGAGCATCGCTGGGCCAAGTGTATCGAACTAAAAGGAAACTATGTTGAAAAATAAAACGCCACTTTTCCAAAATTTTCGTTTTTCTTTTGTAGGCTAAGTACTTATCGGATCACCCTCGTATATAAAATTTTATCATTTCTTTATTGTAAATATTGCGCTATTACATTAACTTTATTAGTTAATAACTTTTGACTATACTTTTTGCGATAATTGTAAATAATACTTAAATGATTTATATCTACTTCTGTAAATTTTACATGTTTTAAAATGTCATTATTACTGTTTATTCTCTTGTAAATTAGAAAAAATGATTTCACACAATTGCCTAAATAACTCGAAAAGAGCTGTTCTGCGAAAATAGGCGGGAAAATCTGTGTATAAATACTAGCAGTATAAATACTAACTATAAATAAATACTAGCTAGCATTCACTCTTAGCCTTGCAAAGTGAGCGCTCGAATTCGAATAAACTTGGCTTATACCTAAGTTCTTTCTCTCAAGTGATTAACTGAGCAAATCCTTTCTTTCCTACTATAATTTACGCTCGACTTATAGAACATTTTGCGCTATGAGAAACTTGGGCTGAATTGCATCCTTTTATAAGAAAGACCTAAGTTCTGCTTATGGGACACTTCGCACCATAAGAATCTACAGTAATGTCTATCTTTCCTTAATATCCAGTTCTTATAATCATAGATATTCATTTATAATTTTATTTGAAAAGTTAATATTCATAAACATTTTTCAAAATTGAAACAAATTCTTACTCATTAACGCGACAGATCACGAGAGTACAAACAATATTATAACTAAAAGGTGATATTAACATCACACTCTATTAACGTAGTACATAATTACAAGTGTGATTTCTAATGATCTAAGATTTTAAAGGTTTCACGCACTTGGAAATCTGTCTCATTATCTGTCTCATATCTGTGTTCATACGCGTTTGAATGAATATGCTTGTAGCTGTAAAAAATGTTATCAAGAGATTTTAAATAATATAAATAAACGCACGCGTGCACACACATGCACATATACACACACACACACATATATCCGCACCATACGATGTATTTCAATATATTTGCAATTTTCAAATGTGTCATTATTTTATTACACTGGTACTGTCTTATCTTTCCCAAAATAAAATATGCCTCTACCAATTTAAAGGTCAATACATTATATTTAAGAAAAAAATATCGAGCATTCCGTTAGTATAAGCCGAGATTTGGTTTTAGTATTCTGACTAGCATCCTGTATCAGTTTCTAAAAAAATAAAATTGATTCAGTCAAAAAATATATAAGTTTCGATACATATGTTCTAAAATGTGTGCAGCCGGTGAATTTTGCGATAGAGCACGTAAACACAGAAATTATTAATGAAAGTGTATATATATATATATATATATATATATATAGAGAGAGAGAGAGAGAGAGAGAGAGAGAGAGAGAGAGAGAGAGGTTAGATTTCACTCGAGGGGAGTGTGGACGTGTCTTGGATGTGAGCGCGAATTTCGGTGAGAAAGTCAAAGAGGAAAAGTGTTTAAAGAGAGAAATAGAGGTGAAAAGAGCGTGGAGGTGGAGGAGGAGTAGAGAAGAGAGAGAGAGGCCTGGAGAAGAGCAGGAAAGAGCAGAGAGAAAGGAATAAAGAAAAAAAATAAAAGTTGAGGTTAAGAGAGAAAATCAGAAAGCGGGAAAGGCAGGCAGAGAGGAGGGCCGGTAAGAAGGAAGAATGGAGTGATGGCAGAGTTAAATAAGGTAAGAAAAGGGGAAGGAGACAGAGGCAAATACTTAGAAGCAAAGAGAGAATACAGAGAGGAAATAAGAAAAGCAAAAGAAGATGAAGGGAAAAGAGTGGCAGAAGAAATAAGAACAGATAAGACGAGAAGAAAATTCTGGGATAAAGTGAATAGCAATAGGAGGAAAAGAATTGGATTAGATAAAAATATAGGAAAAGAAGAATGGATAAAGCACTTCAAGGAACAATTGGGAGAGAAAGAACAGGAAGAAAGTAAAGGGGAAGAAACCGAAGACAGCGAAGGAGAGGAAGGTGAAGAAATTAAAGAAAGAGAAGTAAAAGAGGTAACAAGAAAAATGAAAAAGAAAAAGGCGACAGGAGAAGATGGTATAGCAAATAAAGCGTGAGTGGAAGGCACGGAAGGCTTGATAAAAGATATGACAAAATGCTTAAATGGAATATGGAACGGAGAAGGATATCCGGAAGAATGAAGGAAGGGAATAATAGTACCAATAAATAAGAAAGGGAGGAAAGAAGAAGTAGGAAACTATAGAGGAATAACGCTGATGGATACGGGATATAAAATATATGCGGAAATACTGAGAAAAAAGCTGGAAAGAGAACTAGAAGCTGAAGAAACGCTAAGTGATACGCAGATGGGATTTAGGAAGAAAAGAGGAACAATGGACGCGATATTTATATTAAAAACAATAATAGGGAAGGAAATAAGGGAAAAAGGAGGAAAACTGTTCGTATTCTTTGCAGACATGAAGGCCGCTTTTGATAAAATAAAGAGGATGAAAATATGGGAAACAATGAAAGAAAAAGGGATAAATAGAAAAATTAGGAAAAGAATAGAAGAAATATATAAGAAAACAGGGAGTAAGGTAAAAGTTGGAGGAGAAATAATTGGGGAGTTTGAGACTTACATAAGCGTAAGGCAAGGGTGCCCTTTGAGCACCACGCTATTTAATCTTGCCTTCGCCAACCTCGAACTGAAGATCAAGCAGGTGCAGGAAGGAGGGGTAGTGATAGGAAGGAAGAAAATATGGACATTAGGATACGCAGATGATATAGTGATGATGGCAAAGAGTGAAAGTGGAATGAAAGCAATGCTGAAAAAATTAAAAAGATACCTGGAAGAAAGGGGATTAGAGTTAAATGTAGGAAAATCAAAGATGATGAAATGCAGGAGAGGAGGAGGAAGGGGAAGGAAGAAGAATTCGAAGGGGAAGATGAGAAGATAGAGATGGTGAAAGAGTACAACTAATACGATGGGAAACAGGAAGACAAGAAATGAAAGAAACAGCATTAGAAAGAGCAATGAAGTATGAAAACAAAATAAGAGAAGAAAGAGATGGGTCAATAAGAAAAGAAGCATGGAGAGAATTAAAGAAAAGGGAAAGAAATGAAAAAGATAAAAAGGGTAAGAAGGAGGAGAGAGAGGAAAGGCTGGAAAAAAGTAAAATATATATAGAGAGAGAAGAGGGAGATGAAATGAGGGAAGAGTTTTGGGAAGAAATAAGAGATGAGCTGAAGAAAAAAGATGAAAAAGAACTATAAGAAAAGCTAGAAAAATCATACATAAGGGAGTGGAAAGAGCTGAAAGAAGAAATGAAAAGGTATAGGTTAAAGGAAATTCAAGGAGAGGGAAGAATAAAAGGCCTGCATATAAGGGAAAGGTTTAGGTTAGGTAATGAAACGAGAGGAAGCAGGTATTGGGAAAAAGAAGAAAATAAGAGATGCAGAATGTGTATGAAAGAGGAAGAAAATTGGAAGCACATGGTAGAAAAATGTGAAAAAAGCAGAAAGGAAGGGGAAGAATGGGAAAAAATAATAATAAGAAGCAGAGAGAAGATAGCGTGGATGATGGAGCTAAAATGGTAAAGAAAAAGAAACGAAGAGGTGAAAGAAAAAGAAAAACAAGAAGACAAATTATAAGATACTAAAGAAAATAAGTGAGGTTAAGGAAAGGAAAGGCAGAGGGAGCAATAGGAAATAAAAAAAAGGTGTCAAAGCCCTAACAAGGAGAAAGATGAAATGATTTGCAAGAAAGAGAACAAAAGCAAAGTAACGAAGAGAAGAAAGAAAAAGAAAAGCAAGAAGACAAAGCTACAAGACCCTAAGGAGAGACGGAAACAGAAGACAAAGAAGCAAGACTCGCAGACACATCTACACACACATACATACACACACATACACACAAAACACAAACATACGCGCAAACATAAACATACACATACACACACACACGCAAGACACAAGTAACAGCAACTACACAAGCGAGAGGAAGCAGGTATTGGAGGATGGAGCAAAATGGAAAAGAAGAAGAATCGAAGAAGAGAAAGATAAAGGTAAACTAGAAGGCAAATCATAAGATACTAAGGAAAAATAAGTAAGGTTGAGGAAAGGAAAGGCAGAGGGAGCAATAGGAAACAAGAAAAAGGTGTCAAAGCCTTAACCCGTTTCCGCCGAAAACGCCACTCACGTTACCCTGGTATTTGAGAGCTTATAACTGACGTTAAAATTGCCATAAAAAATTGAAAGAGCTATATTCTGAAAGTTTAAGATCTGCTCTTTCCGATGGTGCTCATCTCTATTTTCCAAAAAATTTTTTACTATTGCAAAATGCAGTTTAAAAAAAAAATCATGATTTTTTCACTCCTTTTTTTTTTAAATTGAGTTTTCAAAAGGTTTCTCCAGTGGAATCGACCCGGAACCTCTGTAACTGGTGGAATAAATGTCTGAATATTAAGGTCTCATCGTTTTCGGATCGATTTTTCACCTGGGGAGTTTCAAAATGGCGCCTCGATTGCAAAATTTTTGTAAATATGTTTATAAATTTTTAACTCAACAACTATGGGGTTATGGAAAAATTGCCAAAGAAGAAAATGTTCTTAGAATTACTCAAAGAATGCACCTAAATTTTTTTAAAAGATTTCAAGAAAATTTTTTTATTTTTGCAAACTGTAAATTTATGCAAAATTCAAAAGTTGCTCAAAAAATCCAAAATAATTCCCACGTATTCTACAGTTTATTCTAAGAATATTTTATTCTTATAAATTTTTTTGTATGTGCATTTCTTGTGAAAATTTTCCCATTAGTATCAATGTGGTATCAAAGTGCATATTTCGCCTGTTCGCCGTAAAATGCATTTTTTTACGTTGCCCAACTATCACCATCGTGGAGGTCGACGAATATAGATAGTCTCTTTTTTTTTTTACATTTTAGTTATTTTTTGTATTTTTGTTTTTTTTTTAATTATTTATGATTACTTTAGAGAAAAAAATTATTTCGCTTGATGCAAAAGAGGAAAACAGTGCAAGCAATAGTACTTGTCGCAATCAATGCAAAATCTGACGACACTCCTTGTAGTTACATACTGCTCTAGTTCTAGTTTCATACTGAAAGATTGGAAATCGCCCAATTTAGAATTGGATAAATACATTCTACTGATTTCTTTACATAAATATTTTGTTGTAACATGTTTAGTTTTGTCGGTATTGCAAATGTTCCAAAGTGTTAAAATATTTGTAACTGAAGCTTGAAGGATACGCGAGAAAATTTTGAATGTCCATTTTTTTGAGCTAATACTTGGGCAAGCTTTTTTACATAGAAAATCGTGCAAGTCTACGCCTCCCATAAATTTGTTGTACAGTGAGAAGGCAAAAGGAAATCCTATTTCTATTCTATCTTTAGCAGTTCGTGAATACCTTTTTATTGGTTTTATAGGTGTAACACCAACTGCTGTAGATAAAACAGATACTTCTTTGGAGTCAATTACAGTAATAAAGTTCATACCACTGTTTGTGTCATGGTCCACTTTGAATGTTCCTCGCGGAGCTTTTTTTTCAAAAGTATGCTTTACTTTCACTCTATCCTTGCGTACAGTTCCTGTCGATCGCAATCCATATTTGCTCAAGTGTACAATTAAATCAGGACTAGTGAAATAATTATCGAAATAGAGGTGATAGTCTAATAGCTTTCTTTTTGAAATGCCAAGTAAAAGAGGATTGATCATTTGTACAACTACTCTGGATCCAAGTGGACATGATGCTAAATTTATTCCAATGCTAGTATCATTTTTACCACAGTAAATGTCCATATTGAACAAATACCCATTTGCTCCACACAATCCCCAGAGCTTTAGTTCATATCTGTCAGGCTTGCAAGGTAAATATTGTTTTAGGCAAGTATGTCCAAAAAATCTGACCATCATTTCATCTACAGAAAGAGCTGTCATAAAAAAGCCAAATTGTTGAATATTTGTTTTGAATAGATTTAATATTTCCCGGACTTTCCAAGCTTTGTCATGGTCATTTTTATCTTTAGGTTTAGAATATTTTATTTTTGTTTTTATTTCACAAAACCTATCACGACTCATTGCTGAAGAAACTACAGAGCACTTCACAAGAGGGTCAGTTTCCCAATACTCCCTTAGCTCATTTCGTATGTTGTACGAAGATAGCAGTAATATTCCCATAAAAGTATTAAGTTCTTGTACGGATAAATCCAATCCATTTGCTTCGCTAGCTTCAATGATATAATTTTTTATTTCTTTAGAGAAAAAAAGTTCAAATAACTGCACAGGTGACATTGAACATATTTTTTTCTTTACAGAATCACTCAACAGTAATTCATTCTCTACATTTCCAGGGCATACTTTTTTTGAATTACACCATGAAAATTCATGATCTGGTTCTAGTTTTTTTGAACTGCTGAATAGTTATGAAAAGTAGATCTGTATGAAATGTTTGGTTTTGGGATTTCTTCTTCCAAATTCTCATCATCTGAGTCATATTCTCCTTCAGAACCTGAGTTGTCTGGATCAGGTATAACCACGAACTCATCATTCTCTTCGGAATCTACATCTGAATCGTCATACTCACGAGCTGTTTCAGATTCTTTGGTTTTTGAAATTTCTGATGCTTTTCTCTTTGGCATTTTTTATTAATAATCTGTCATCTATGTATGATAAACCTAAGGAACTATTATAGTTTCAAAAGCCCACACTTATCTTGTGAATCCAATAACAAGATAAAACGTCTGCATTAATGAAGAGAAAATGCTGCTACAAATTCTCTCACACAAATCGAGTGAAAAATTGGAAATTTCGCAAACTACCGGAAATAATACAGAATCGCTCTGTATAAGAACGCTTCATAGGTCAGACCTATTTCATAAATAATTGTTCAGTTAAAATGTAAAAAATATCGAAAGACAATCTGCAGCACATTTATATTGCATAAAAATAAAAAATCTTAGTTGAAATGTAAACGTAGTCAACTGATTTGGATTTAGTTATCTCGGGAACAAAAAACAAAAACTTGAAATAAAGTTGATTTAAAAAAATTTTTTATTCAAAAACTATTATATTTACAAAGAAATCGACAAGAATAAAATATTCTTAGAATAAACTGTAGAATACGTGGGAATTATTTTGGATTTTTTGAGCAACTTTTGAATTTTGCGTAAATTTACAGTTTGCAAAAATAAAAAAATTTTCTTGATACCTTTTGAAAAAATTTAGGTGCATTCTTTGAGTAATTCTAAGAACATTTTCTTCTTTGGCAATTTTTCCATAACCCCATAGTTGTTGAGTTAAAAATTCATAAACATATTTACAAAAATTTTGCAATCGAGGCGCCATTTTGAAACTCCCCAGGTGAAAAATCGATCCGAAAACGATGAGACCTTAATATTCAGACATTTATTCCTCCAGTTACAGAGGTTCCGGGTCGATTCCACTGGAGAAACCTTTTGAAAACTCGATTTAAAAAAAAAAAGGAGTGAAAAAATCATGATTTTTTTTTTAAAACTGCATTTTGCAATAGTAAAAAATTTTTTGGAAAATTGAGAAGAGCACCATCGGAAAGAGCAGATCTTAAACTTTCAGAATTTCAATTTTTCTTTCTCTTTCAATTTTTTTTGGCAATTTCAACGTCAGTTATAAGCTCTCAAATACCAGGGTAACTTGAGTGGCGTTTTCGGCGGAAACGGGTTAATAAGGAGAAAAATAGATGAAATGATTAGCAAGAAGGAGAGCAAAAGCAAAGGAAAGGCAAAGGTGAAAAGGCAAAAGAAAGTAATAAAGGAAAAGCCGAAAAGAAAACAGCAGAGCGGAAAAGGCAGATCTTGGAGAGAGAAAGAGGGAGAGAAGATTAATCAGAAGAAAAATGAGAAGAAAAGTGGTACAGGCAGGCGCAGAAGACAGGGACACAAGAGTTGCAGACACACCTACAAAGGCACTTATTTACACAACACATACACACATACACGCACGCGCGCACTCACACACAAAACACATACATATTCAACTACACAAACTGGATACGAGATACAAATAGTAATATAAGAAATGTAAACCAAATGTAACATATAAGTTGTAAATAAATAAACTATATATATAGGTAAACATTTGGTATGAAAAAATTTTGGTAAGTTCTGTTCCAATAGTTCAGATTCGAACCATCATGAGTTTTTGACACGTACTAAGCGCTCTTCAGTTAAAATTGTTTTTTGTATGATAGCCACGTCATGTTGCAACGTAAAGTAAGGAAAGCATGAAATCTGATTGTGCATCGCAGATTAATATATGTCAAATTGATGATGCAACTTAAACTGATTTTGCATCCAGTAATGATGTACCTTGTGACGAAAGTTATGTCTTATGAAACTATATTTTTTGAAAAATTTGTTTCTAGCTCGTTTTGTATTTATCACACACGCATGCTCTAGTTTTACAACTGAAATACTGAGAGTCAAATCATACGCCATGCATCGTATATTATTCTCTTACTATTTACCTTATTTTTACACATTACTTTCTCAATGAAAGTTTCAAATTACGAACCTTTGAAAAGTCAATTTTTTGAGGATTGTTATTTATATATTTTGAGAAATGTTATTTTTTTTATAAGAAAATTTTGGATTAAAATTCTGTTTTAGCAGAAAACGTAAGCACATATAAAAATTAAATAAATTAATCTACTAATAATGCAATGAAATATATATTCGGTAGAATGAATTTTACAAAATTTAGGAAGCTGGAAAGAGCGATGAATTATCCCTTTATACAGATATGCTATTTTCTTAAAAAATTATGAACTATTTTATTAATCAGTAATATTTATTGAATTATATGTTTTTTTAAATTGAAATATTCGCAGGATATACAACAAGAACAATATTTACTATGGAAAAAGTCAAGAAATCAACAAACTATTACCGAAAAATACGTGGAAATAAAAATTAGTATTTTTGCTATTAATTATACATATGAGTCATTTTTTCAACGAATACAAGCTACGAATACTTTCCCTACAATCGAAAAGTCATTTAGTTTATCTAAGATCTTGAAGTGTACTTTTTGAATTCGAATGGCCTTTTCCTCGAAACTTCACATCTGATTAAATATGACAGCCAAAACCACATAACTCTACTTTTTTGTTTATTAAATTGATAATAAAACCAGCATTACGAAGTTGATTGAGCTCTAAAATATCCTAAATGAAATGTCTTAAGCTCTACTTTCAAAAACGAGAGGATAAACGTTTTTCCGTTCGAAGTTAAATCCAATATGGTGCCCAAAACCACGTGACATGTAAAGATTTTTGAAAAATCAATCGTTTCTCATTGAATTTGGTATATGGGGGTTTTTGTTGTCACTGATCATGAATCCAATGGTTGATTTGCAGCATCCAAGATGGCGGATCTGATATCGTGTTTCATTTTTGAAAATTGAGTCTTGAATACAGGATGAGTCATTTTAATCTATGGACTCCCATATCTCAAATCTATGCATAATACAGAAAAATAGTTCAGACAAAAGTTGCTCAATACCAAGAGGGACACATTTTGGTGACCTTAAATGTGACCTTTAACATGATGGGTCAAGGTCATACCAAGGTCAATGTTTTCTTTAAATAGGAACCCTTAATTTTTATCTCGGATTCTGATTCTGCGTTAAATTCTACGTTCAAATCATGTAATGTGTGGGGTCCAAATGACTCCCACACCACTCCCAATCGTTTCGAGGTCAACCTTACCTTTTTAATAGAAACCCCTATTTCTCACACCAGATTTGGAGAAAGCGAGAAATTATTCGTCCGGAATAATATTCAAAGATTTATTTATAAGAGCAAAAGTTTGAAAAGTTGGATAGCAATTTTCTTAAGTTCTCTAACAAAGCAGTCGTTGTGAAACTATCTATTTGAAACATGTTAACTTAAGTGTAACACTGTTGACCTCCACAGTAACTCAAATAAGAAAATATTGATCTATCCCTTCTTCCTTTCCTTTTCCCATCCTCTTCTTTCTACTCCCTCCCTTATTCATCCCTCTCCCTACCCTACGTCTCGTATTATCTCACTCCTCTTTCCTCCTCCCTCTTACTTCATGTGATTAGTCATATGAAGCTGTTTAATCGTGTTCGACCTAAAAGATGAATAAATTGAAAATTATTGGTTTCATCTTAAAGAACTTAAGATTTAATTAAATTTATTTAATTTTAATTTCAATGTAAAAATGTGTAGATGTAAATATCTTCTAGTTATGCATTACAAAATAATAAATTCCGAGGAATAAAAAATTTTCCAGTAATATTGTTAATACGCAAAGTCATGCTTAATACTTTCATGATTGTAAACTAGAAAGTTTCTAATTGATATTACTTTTTTTCTAAAATCTTGTATTCATTATTAAAACTTCAGATTATTACATATGTAAATTAAAGTTCCAAGTCCTTGAGTTATTTTGTGGACGCGTACTCAATAAAGATGACAGATTATACGTACACCTACTGAAATTGTCGATATGATGATGATTTTAGGAAAATATCATAACAATTATGTCGCTGCATCAAGGCTGTACCCTGAACGGTACTGAGACCGAAGACATCCTACTGATGACAATAAGAAACTTGTCTTATAACGTACCTGACAGCTGGTGTACCAACGCCGACATAATCAATACACGACAATGACGTGCGAGTATTGGTTGTTCTAGCATCTGTTCATCTCGATCCACACATTAGTATCGGGCAGATTAAAAGAGAAACAGGAATACCACAATGTACAGTCTCAAGAATTTTAAGAATCAATCGCTTTCATGCTTATCACATTACTCTGACGCAAGCCTTGAGACCACATTATCTTTTGGCGCGTGTTAATTTCTGTCAATGAACTTTGCAAATGATAGACAATGATCATCATTTCTTTCAATATGTACTTTTCTCAGATGAACATATATTTTATAGCGATGAACATCTCAATATACATAACTGTCACTATTGGTCGGACGAAAATCCCTACTGGTATAGAGCTTTGGACCATTAGAATCGATGAAGTCTACCGGTACAGTGCGGAGTTGTAAATGGCTATTTGA